TTGCCTCTAGCAGTCTTCTTGTTTCCTCTGCCACAATATACTCCAAACGCAGAATTAAATTACCATTATTACCTTCACATATACATAAAAATATAGAAGTGTGTGTGAAATCGGCTTACTTGAAGGGAGAGCTGGAGGAGTGAGTGGAGATGAGATTGATGTGAGAGAAGTCGAGAGTGAAGCGTTGAACAAGGATTGGGATTTGGAGAAGGAAAGAGTGATAGATTTGGAGGCCATAGGAATTGCCATGGGAGGAGCTCCGAGGAAGAGTGAAGCCATTGGAGTTGAAGAATACGAAGATAGAATTTGTGGTCTCTTTTGTTGTGGATAAAATGGTTCTTAGCCCTTAGACGACACCGTTCAGAGACGGCAGCCTGTATTAATTTTGGTTATTTTCAAATTATTAACAAAATGTTTATTTTTAAAACTTTATTTATGCTCAAAATATAGAATTACTTGTAAATATAGTTTAAGTAAAAAGGGGTCTTCCGCTATTATTAAAAAAAAAAAACACCTTGCCATCGGAGCGATTTCAAGAAAGGGCAAATATATTCACTCTATTAATAATCTAGTCAAATATGGTGTATTATATGAGAATAAGCGAATGAGCTCAATATGTCTTTATACAAGTTAAATGCACTGCAAGTTATCCAATTTCGAACGGAGTTACATCTTATTCACTCACATTCAATCAGTGCAATCATATCAATCAACTTTGATTCACTTGTAAATCTAACTCATTTTTAATTTTGTGCAATTAAAGACTCAATTTCGATTTATTCGTAAATATGATCATTTTTTACGTTACCTAATCAATTTAACTAACATAATACGTTTATGATAATGTTAAAACTAACGAATGACATTGTATATGTCTACCATACAAAATATACATCAAAATTGTCAAACCTTAAAGATGGCAAATTTCCCTTCCCCCTACCCGTCCCGAATTCCGTGAATCCACCCCCGAATATTTTTGATTTTTGATTTATTTCCATTTTTCCAATTTAAATGGTACTTAAAAATAGTATTTACAATTAAACAAGAGAAGAATTAAGATATTTTTATTCCTGTTTCCGCCCCAATCGCATTCATATCCCCGCTTCCTGAAAATCCTCAATGCGTCGAAGGCTAGCCATCTCACCCTATTGCCATCCCAATCTTAAAATACACTTTTTAAAAAATTGTATAAACTAACAACAATGGATACATGCACGTCAAAGTTGGGTGATTTAGTCTCACCAAATTGAAGATGAGTGACTAGATGTGAACTCTACTCAAAATTGCATGACTCACAATGCATTTTACCCGTCCATATACAATTATAATGCAATGTGGCTGAATAGTTAACGGGTAATTAAATTGGCACTACAATTTTCATTTGATGTATCACTTTCTAAATTTCACAACAACAATTTTTATTTCACACCAAATTTTAATTGTAATTAAACTCGTCAATCTTTGCTCATTGTAGCAATTATTTTCTTGACATTTTTCAGTAGAATTCTTATCTTCAACCGTCCATTAATGAGTACATCCCGCCCTTAATGATGATTTATATCAAAATATTTTATTTTCATATTTTAAAATGAAGAATAATATTTTTTCGCACTTTTTATTTATTTATTTTTTAAAAAATATGATGGAAAAATAAATTATTTTACGCCATTTCAACAAATTTTTGGACATAAAACTATTATCAAATACAAAAACATATTAACTAATGAAAAGTTTGAGAACAAGTATGACATGAAAAACCGTTAGAGAAGTAAGTGTTGTGATGAACAAAGATTAAAAACCTTAAGTACAATTAAAATGCAGTGCAATAAATAAAAATTTTGGTGTGAATATAATTACCTTTAATAGTAATGGAATAAAAGAAAATTGTAATACCAATATAACCCTTATTTACATGCCACAATAATTTAAATGATCATTTCAATTTCGTGTTCACCATAAACAAATTTTACATAAATATCAGTGTCACGCGTTTTATACAACGTGAATTTATGCGCAAATGTACGGTGTCAAGTTTTGTAATATAGTAATAGAGTTAGAGTGTCGAAATCCCAGGGATTGTAATTTAATTTCCACCAAGTATTATAATTATGCAGCTTTTATTTTATCTAAACAATTGATGAATGGTTGATTGATTGTTTTAAATTATTCAAAAGTAAAATGCTACGACAAAATTGGAGAATATAAATGATCAAAATGAAAAAGCCTATGGAATGATCTCACCAACTTTCAATTATAATTCAATGATATCAAATTATTCCAATTAATTTTTTCATATTTAAAAGCAATAATCCAATTGTATTTCTCTCCCCTCTCTAGAGTGTCGACTAGAAATTTATCCTAGAAATCAATCAAAATATCTCTATTCCGAATTAAATGCTAGAATTTATCAAAGTTCGATTCTTTTGTGGAGTAAGCTTCATAATTTTATACTTTCTCTCGAAACCCATAAAACCTACGTTGTATCAATCCTATGATCACGCCTAAATTCCCCTCTTTCGAATGTCGAAATTGACTAGCATCTACTCATTCAATTATTGATCAGGTAATTGAAAGCTTTAAAATCATGACACAATTAAATTTATGCGGAAAAATCAATTAGAAATAACTATGGAATCATCAAA